AGAAAGAGAGAGAGAGAGAGAGAGAGAGACAGAAAGAGAGAGAGAGAGACATAAAGAGAGAGAGAGACATAAAGAGAGAGAGAGACATAAAGAGAGAGAGAGACAGAAAGAGAGAGAGACAGAAAGAGAGAGAGACAGAAAGAGAGAGTGAGAGAGACAAAGAGAGAGTGAGAGAGACGGAGAGAGAGACAGAAAGAGAGAGAGACAGAAAGAGAGAGTGAGAGAGACGGAGAGAGAGAGAGAGTGAAGCTTGTCAACATTTTATCCAAGCAATTTAAACAAGAACTCCAGGCAAGGAAAAAACAACCTTACAGTGGGTCTTCCCCGGCACTTGCTCATTTTGTCTAGAGGGCTCAAATAAAGCAGTTTTACTAACTTGATCCTCAGCCCCATGACGGTCAGCACTCACCTCTCTCCCCCTCTGCTCTAGCATGGACCTACATTAGACGTTATGATGTCAGCAGGCCTTAAACCGCCAGAGCAAAGGGGGGGAAGAGGCTGTAGGGAATGGTCTAGCAGCCTGGAGGGGGCTTGTGGGACAGAGGATCGGGTAAGTAAAACAGGTTTATTTGAGGCCCCTGATAAAACAAGCACTTAACACTTGCAGTGCGGGGATAGCTACACTACAAGGGTAAGTTTTTTGTTTGCCGAGGGTTCTTCTTTAAATATTTCAGGTAATTCTGTTGCACTTTATTTACTGCTAAGATAGGTTTAGGGTAACATTTGAGTACAGTTCCTCTTTAATTTAACCCTATGTGAAGTAGCAGTTACCTTCCAGGGCCTAAAGGATAAGGGCGTTTTTATCTAACAATCTTTATCTCACAGATCAGGCGGTGGAAAACATGCTGATGATACAATTTTGTGCGCGTCTACACAAAGAGCAGAAACCCTTCTCAAGCGTCACAATAACAAAGTAAAACAAGAATGATATACGGTGATAAAACTCTTTGATATGGGCTGATTTAGTATGACAAATCAAAAAATAAACATGTGATTTCTGCATTGCTCCTTAAAGACAGAACAGCCTTCAGCATAGTACACACACTCCTTTGACGGGAGAAGTAAGGATTCCTCTCATAATTTCTATATAAGCTATTGTTAGAAAAACATATTAGTTTGCAAAATGTTCACGCTGCTTTTAATTTTCCAAGAATGTTCAGAAGGAAATGGGCACGGCAGAGTGAGGGCAGAGTGAGGACACCGTTGTATATTTTTGCTTTCCCCGGTGTTCAGCTGTTCAGACAAGAATGTTTGTTTTCAGCTGGTTCTGCTCTTGTAATGTAGCTACATTTTGTGGTATTGTGGAATGAAGCAGATCTCCGTATTCTGAGTAATGTGCTGTTGTAGAACTTTGTAAGGAGTTCATCTCAGGAACTCCAGTACATTGTATCAGCGAGTTATCTGGGTCTGCTCCACTAAACCTGTACAAAAAAACTAGCAATCAGCTTATACCCGCAACTCAACAAAACCTGCAATCCTACATGAAACGTGATTGTGCTAAAAGAGATCCGTCATATTCAAGACAGAGCAGCTGACAAGGTAGAAGTAAAGTTTCCGGTCAAAGGCTAAACAAACATAAGATGGCAGCAGGAAGATCAGACAGCTGATCCTTCCATTATGATAAATGTTTAATTGTTCCTGACAATGCACTGAACAGATACCCCTGGCACCAGCCTAAAAGTGACAGTTCAAAAGAATTAATTCCATCCATTATATTAAAGGAGAACTATGGGTCAGTGTTTTTCCCCATAGTTCTCCTTAGGGTAACGGGAGGACACAAACTAGCGTCCTCCTGTTACCCTAAGCTCAGTATACCGCCAGCTACAGCTCGCGGTATACTGAGACGCCGCAGCCGGAGCGGACCACGACTTAGATGACGGGATCCGCCCAGCTGCGTGAGTGACAGCTGGCTCTGCCTATCTAGAGGCAGAGCCAGCTGTGCCCGCCCCCTCCCCCGTCCGTTCCGCCAGTCAGCGCTGGCAGATCGGAGCGGGGAATCAAGCCCCTCCCCCTGTCACGGCAGAGAGCCGTGACAGGATCGAGAGGCGAGCGAACCCGGTATGTGTTCGTTCAACTCCCGATCTACTGAGCTGACCTGTGACAGTCTCATTGTCACAGGTTGGCTATAACTATGAGGTGAGTGAAAAGCACTCACCTCATAGTTCTCCTTTAACTGGCCAGAGGGTATCAGCAAAGGTCGAAGAGTGTCCACAGACATACAAACATCTCTAGAGCCAATTATTAATGGTTAGATCCCGCAATGGTTTAAAACCTTGGTTCTCATATGGTGGGTCGTGACCCAAAAGTGGGTCGCCACATGCCTTCCACTTTTCTAGGCCAGTGACTCCTCAGCCTCCCCCTAGCGCAGCACCGTCGGTTCTCGTGCCGAGCAGCCATTCAAAATATGCTGCCTGGCCCTGCATGTCAGCTTGAGGTGGGGTGGAGTGGGCTGGAAGTATGGCCATAAGGGAGCTCCATCCATACGTGCATTGCTCCCACCTGTGCCCTGT